CCCCCCACCTCCGTCCCTGCACATGAGCCCCGCACACATTGTGAGGGGAGTACACCATTCGGTACCCCCCATTCGGTACATCCGGCATTTTCCTTATTTTATTTTATTTTATGCAGCTTCACGGAATATGAAGTGTTGAGTCAAATTATTATTATAAAATTTTATTTGTTTGTCAGCAAATACTTGTTTGATAATCTATATACATCTGTCACAAGGGAAATAATTAATGTTATTTCGTGGGAATTATAAGGGAATTTGCATGAAAATTGTCCACCATTTTAGATTTTAAAGTAATGTTAAGGGATAAAATTTCATATCAAATAAAGATGAAAATATAGACTAATTTATAAGAGTTTGGGTTATTCCTTTTAATAAGGTTGACCTTTTAAGATAGAAGCACAAATTTTATCAATGTATCAGAGTCCGTTAAACTCCAACGAACAATTCGATCCAATTAAGACTCAAAAATAATCAATGCATAGCTGATTTTTTTTTTTTCAAAATATATTTTTTCTCTTCTTTTCAACAACACATTTTTTAATAAAATAATATTACAAACAACCAAAAAGAAATTTCTTCATGTTTAATCACACATTTTTCATTGCTCTACTATTTTAAAATGCATTTTACACAAGAAAATGGGGATCAAACATACCCTATGTATATGCATAGAGAGAGAGAGAGAGAGAGAGTTGGTAGATAATGGGTATGGGGTGGGTTGTGGTGACTGATGGGGGGTGGATTGTGATGATGAGACGTGGTGCATGTATTGTCTTTGGTCTATTATAGATAGAGAATTAGGAGAGAGTGGGTATGGCGTGAATTATTGTGATGGTGTTAATTAATCTTGTATTAATTAAACATTCGTAATTAGCACCTGAATTAAAAAATTTAAAACGTCACTCCTTTATTTTTGAATTGTATATTTGAGATATAGGATTGTGTAATTTCCCCCTTTTTTGAGATATTTAAGGCTCAACAAATATATAAAATAATATTGATTTAAATTCGTAAAAGTTCATATAATACAAATTATCAAAATTTAAATTTGACAATATTTTTTTCGATTTGCCACTTTTCCAAAACATGCATCCTTAATCTTTTTGATTTTTATTATTATTATTTTTTTGGAAATGTGTAATTAAAAAGTAGGAAAAATTTTGATTTTACGTGCAAAATATTTCACCACATTCAATGTTTTCTTTAATGCATGAATTATGGTAAAATAAAATACAAGTTATAAAAATAAAATTGTGTATAAATTAATAAATATTCATATTCATTTATCGATAAATTAATAACATCTCTAAAACAATAATGTTTCTTGATCCCAACATTATTATTTTATAGAGGTTTTACTAAATTTAAAGGTTCATCTGCAATGTGGTTTCTTTGCTCCAACCCATTTTATGACTTACAATTTTTATTCATTTTTCAACTGTCTATTTTCTAATTTTTTAGTCAAATCTTCTAAAAATCCATTTTTATCCAAACCATTCTATTTGAACTGTCAATAGGGTGACGCCCCTGTTTGAACAGGAGAAGCATGACTTATTTTATAGTGTAATTCAGACGCTAATCTAGTCAATTCACATTGAAAACTTAAGCAAAGCAACACAAACAAATTAAACTAAAATAAGAAGTTGACTGACTGTTTCTACTTTCTGCAACGCTGAACGCGGTATTTGCACCACTGCACACGTTCTCTTTTTTTCCATTGTTCCAAAGTAAATAATCTATATAAATTAATTTTTTTGACAGTATTTATATATATAATGCTTTCAAAAAAAATTACAGTTACGATACCAAACATTTCATTTAATTGCAGACTTTGTCCAAATCTTTCATTTGTGACACCTACGGTACCAAATATTTAAAAAATTCGCACCTGGAGTCCAAATCTTTATCATATGCTGGCATATTAGAATTAATCAGAGCAGTGCTTCAAGGGGTGGAATGTTTCTGGCTCTCTTTATTGCCTATCCCAGCCACAATTATTTCAAGAATCATTAGCCTCTGCCGAAACTTCCTTTGGAGGTCGAAGAAGCCTTTGGTTGCTTGGAAAGAGCAGTGCTTACCGAAAAATGAAGGTGGATTGGGGTTTCATGACATGAAGTGCTGGAACGTTGCATTATTGGGAAAATCGTTGTGGAACATTCACCACAAGAAAGATACCTTATGGATTCGTTGGGTGGATCAAGTCTACCTTAAGGGGGCAAGCATTTGGGAGATCTTACCACGTAAAGATCACTCCCCCCTTTTTAAAAAACTGTTGGAAATCAGAGATACATTTAAGCAGGTTTCTGGCCAATACACGTTAGAGCACTCTAGGCAGGTTTTCGGCCAGCTCATGGGTATTAACGGGGATGAATTTAGTGTGACCAAAGCCTATGAATTTTTTAGGCCAAAAGCTACTGTTAGATGCTGGACTAAGGAGGTATGAAAACACTTTATTACACCGAAGCATTCTTTCACACTTTAGTTGGGAGCCCAATCCAGGTTGCTTACGAAAGACAAGCTACAGTACCTCGATATTAATAGATATTGCACTTTTTGTAACTCATGCGAGGAGACGTGCAATGACTTATTCTTTGAATGTCCTTTTTCTGTGAGTATTTGGGAAAACATCAAGTTGTGGTTGGGCATCACTAGGGCTATGACCACCGTCACATCCCATTGAAATGGATGAAAAAGGAGTCAAGAGGCACTTCAGGGCGGAATAAAGCTAAAAGAATTGCATTAGCTAGTTGGAAGTCTACTATATTTGGATGGCAAGGAATATAATGGTGTTTGAAAATCTTATTCCCCATGCCGAGAGCATTGTACGACGAATCAAAACACATGCACACAAAGTTATGTTTACTTTGTATCCTAATGTTTTGATTTATTATGAGTCACTTGTTATGAGTTGATTTTTATTCTCTATGCTTCGACTGTATTTTGTTTTTGATTACTTGGGTATGTCCATAGTTTTTGTACTTCCACTGTAACTGCATTGTTGATTCACCCGAGTATGCCGGGAGCACTTGTATACCAATTTGATCAATATAATTAATTTTACGGATTAAAAAAAAAAAGTTATATTATAATTATAGTTACCTGACCTAACCGACCACTTTGCAATTTCAAAATAATGGAATTGATTATATGCAGCTCAATTTAATACGACTCTAGTGAGAAAAAATTAATTTATTTTCCTCAAATTCATTAAGTAGAAGAAGAAAGGGAATTAATTTACTTTCCTCAAACCCTACAATAAAAATAAGGAAAAAAAGAAAAAGAAAAAAAAAGTAAACTCACCTTCAAGATGATATTATCCGTGACAAAATCCGTCCATCACCTCCAACGTTGGGACACCACGTTTTCCCAGTCTTTCATCGGAAAGCAAGTAGACTTTCAACTGTACTCTCACGCGTCATCTGGTGTGGGTTTCTTCCTATTCTTCTCTCCCTCATTGCTTTGAACCTTCTCAATGGCCCCCCAAAACATCCATCAGCCACATATTTATGTATTTATACAACAGCATCTATGCATAATGCATATATCTAACTCGTTAGAAAAGTCTCACTTGAATTCTCTGCCTTTGTACTCGACATTCTGATAAATTCTTGAATTTCCAATGGTGCGTGTGAGTAACAATTTGGTGGGCATTCTTAATTTCGTCACACTTTTGCTCTCAATTGCCATCATAGGAGGGGGCATATGGCTCTCTAAACAAGCTAACACAGAGTGCGAGAGGTTTCTTGACAAACCCGTATTCGCTTTGGGAGTGTTTATTCTGCTTGTTTCATTGGCAGGTTTAGTGGGGTCATGCTTCAGAGTTACATGGCTTTTATTTGTCTATCTCCTTGTCATGTTCTTGTTGATTCTGTTGTTATTTTGCTTCACAATCTTTGCTTTTGTGGTTACAAACAAAGGGGCCGGACAGTCCTTAACTGATAAAGGCTACAAAGAATACAGGCTTGGGGATTACTCTAATTGGCTGCAGAAAAGGGTCAACAGTGACAAGAATTGGAACAAGATAAGGAGTTGTTTGCAAGACAGTAAAATCTGCCAGAGGCTGCTGGATGATGGCTCCTCCACCAAAGTTAAAGATTTTTACGGGGAACATCTCTCTGCTCTTCAGGTAAATATAACAGACATATTTTACATTATTTGGTTCTTGGGAATTCATTGTAAACAACACAACACAAATTAACTTTAATTGCTTTGAAAAGTTGAAAGGGGATCTCTTTTGAGTGAACAAGGAATAAATGTCTTTTTGTTTGACATATTCTTACACCATAAAGGTTTGGGTCACTAACTTTATTTTTTTCTTTTATTATTTCCTTTGATACTTCTTCCTAACACGTTCCTCACACGTTCTCCTCAATTCATGGTCTTTTTTGAATTATCCTTTTCTTTTAAACCTCTGAGTGAGTTATAGCCAACGGTTCTTGAGGTTGATTCCACCTTTTTTTTACGTCCATTTCCTCTCTAATATTCTAACCGCGTTCACTAGTTAGCTGATCCTGGATTTCCTATCCAGTTTCTTTTCTATTTGAAATCCCACTTCTCTATCAAACCGCGTTCACTAGTTAGCTGATTCTGGATTTCCTCTCTAATGTTGTTCTTGAATCGTTTCTACAGTCTGGTTGCTGTAAACCATCAAACAACTGCAACTTCCAGTATGTTAGCCCGACCAACTGGACTAGGACCCCTCAATCATCGTTAACGAATCCCGACTGCGTTACGTGGAGCAATGACCCCAATGTTTTGTGCTATAGCTGCCAATCATGCAAGGCTGGGTTGCTGGATAACATCAAGAGAGACTGGAAGAGGGTGGCTCTCATCAACATAATATTCCTAGTCTTTCTCATAATCGTCTACTCCATTGGATGCTGCGCTTTTAGAAACAATCGGGAGGACAACGCATGGAAACGATACCCTTGAATGTTTCCATCAGATTCTGGTTTGAGTAGATAGTAGTACATCTCTTATCGCTGGTGTTTGTTGCATTGTTCTAATGGTTTATTGGGTGTACAGTGCACTGTTTTCATTTTGTTTTCCAGACCTTATTTAGTGACGGTAAATTTTATTCAATATTCCTTATAAAACAAAGTAGTTAACTTTGAAAATTAATAAAATCACGTGTCCCAGTTGTTTTTAGAGAAGTTTCATTAGATTATTTCGTACTTGATAGACTAAACTTGAAAATTTAACACCTAAACATCCATTTATCCGTGAAATTCTAAAATATTTTCTTGATTAACATTGCATTTAGGTGTTTAACTTTGACTGTTTGATAACCATTATTTGAAGGTTCTTTATTCTACATACTCATTTTCAACCACAAATTCAATAAATAAAATATTCAACACATACTTTTTAATCACAAATTCTCCTAAAAATCAGTATTTAAAACATCATTTTGGCCAAATCAATAAATAAAATATTCAACACATACTTTTTAATCACAAATTCTCCTAAAAATCACTCTTTAAAACATCATTTTGGCCAAATAATGACCATAAAGATGGAATTAACTTTAAAGTGGACATTTAGAATTTAAGGGTGCATTTGGTTTGTTGTCTTCAATTTTGTAAAAACATTGAAATAAATGTTTGGTATGTTATTTTCGAAAACGACGATAAATTTATAATATAAAACTCAGAACACATTTTTTACGTTTTGGATGTTTTTTGTGAAAATTCTGAAAATGCTTAAAACATGAAAAACAAGTGTTTAAATAAAATTTTTAAGAACTAAAAATACGAAATTCTAATATAATTTAAAATTTTTAAATATAAAACTAAAACAATAAATAAATAAATACAAATAATAAAAAATAAAAAACATAAAATTTAAACTTTAAAATCTAAAATTCCAAAATAAAAAAGTAAAATTCTATAAAACAAAAAGTAAAAATTATGAAAAAATTCAAAAAATTTCTAGAAAATAACAATTATAAAAAAAATAAAAAAAAGTTCAAACTCTTAATGATTATTTACATAAAAATTCTAAACAAATATTTAAACGAACACAGATAAAATATTCTCAATCTACATCATTAAACTTTATTTTTATTTCCTATATTTTGAATTCAATTTATTAATTGTTTTTATGTTACTTTTGTAGCGAAAAAAATATTGTAAAATTCACAAACTTTAAAATGTAAATATTACTTGATAATATATTAAAATAAAATTGTTCTGTATTTATCGAACAATCAAATTTCATGAAATAAAATGACATAAATCAATTTTCAAAATTTCAAATTGAAACTATGTTCTAATATTCTGTATTGAGAAATAATTTTTCAATATAATAAATCAAACGCAATTTTAGTAATCTTAATACAAACCCTCAAAATAGAAAACTGAAAATGAACTCAAAACATTTTTTAGGTAAGCTGCCAAACTTTTGTCTCTTGCAGTGAAGTTGTCATTCACCCGACTCACCACCAATTGTGAATCTCTATTAACCACCAGCCATGAATCCAAATCTTACTGCATAATTAAGCTTCTACAACCCTATGAACTCACAATTTCTCAACCGAAAAAGTTAAATCCATAGCTATGAACGCTGTTAGGGAAGAAGATAGTGAGTCAACTGATACTGAAACTCTTTGGGACAACGAAATCGCATATTTCGTTAAAAAATTCTAGAAGGTGATGAAGAATATGAGAAAATATTAAGAATGGAAAAATGATATCCCTATTAAATTCTCGAATGATAAGCGTGAGAAGAATACCACTAGGACTGCCAGTCTATTAGATGCCATGAATGTCAGGGTTTTGGTCACTATAGGAATGAATGTCCTAAGAACTTGAATGAAGGAAGGCGTAAGACATTAGCAGTGACCTTGAGTGATGATAAATCAGATTTGAGTACTCAGAGTGATACATTTGGTGGTGAAGATGAATAAAATTGTATTGCCTTCACATCTATAGCTACAATTGAATCCGATAAGGAAAATGAAAAGGTTGAGAATGAAGAACGTAGTGAAAAATCTGAGGGAGGGTCTGATGATGAGACTGATATTCATGAGTCTTATTGAGAATTGTTTGAGGAGAGTCTTAAAATCAAAAAGGTCAATAAAGCTACACTGAAAAGGTAAACAAACTTGAAAGAGAGACAGAGAAACTCATAGATAACCTTCAGGACTCTACCAAAAATCTGAATGAGTTGAAGCTTGTTAATGAGAGCTTAGAAGCCAAATTTAAATCCTTAACAAGTGATCTTTAAAAATCTAGTACTCAACTTCATTCGTTCATTAGTGGTACGCAGAAACTCGATAATGTGTTGGGGATGAACAAGCTTGCTAGAATTAGGCATGGTCTAGGTTACATTCAAAATGGTAATGCTACTGTAAATACATCCAAGACCACGTTCGTCGCAGCCACCAACAAAGCTCGGAATGCTGTTAATCGTGAACTCAAGGGTACGAATGTCTTTGGATCAAGACCTACTAGATAACGTAGGGTCAATTGTCCTATATATCGGCAACAACCTCTGAGCAGGTTTGAACCTACTGTTTATTTCCACTTGTCACCATTGTGGTACACTGGGACACACAAGACCTAGGTGTCGTAAACTCACGACTAGAAGTAAAAGTCAGGATTTCTTAAGAAAGGTTAACTTTCTCGCTAATCAAGTTAGCCATTTAATTGAGATGACGACTCAGTTAACTAGAATTACTTCTACTTCTAAGAAGATTTGAGTTAAAAAGAGTGACCTAAAAGGTCGTGAGATGGATCATGCTCTTTAAGGTAAGAGTATCCATGTTTTTCCTTGATTAGATTCTTAGGTGTGTGCATGTGCAGTTCATTCATTCTTGCATGCATCTTACTTATTTGTATTTTGTTTTGATTTTGTTTCGTATTTTTTTTTAAAAAAGCTGGTTCATCTTATACTCGTGTTCGAAGCCTATTTGACTCGAGTAATTAAGCTCGATGGATTTCTCATAATCTAGGCTATGGTCAACTGACTGGGTTAACCGACCTAAAACTTGTTACATAGGTCATTTAGTAGTTTAATGGACAAAAGTCCGTACATAAGATGCACTATTTGAGAAAAATGACATAAAAAATATATGCTCATATTTAGTGGGAGAAAAGATAAAAATTTCGTGTAATTGAGCTTATTTTAAGGTTCTAATCATCTTACAGGTTTGACTTTCGATAGTAAGGGAAAATACTTATTTGACAGTAATGTTCGCATATCATTTTTCACAAATTTAAGGTTATGAGTCATATTCACGAGAAAATAGTGGCACTTAACACACGTGAGTCACTTGTACTCTTTACTCCGTTTGAACTTGATTGAGTACGTGAGAAATTTTTATTGATAACGCATTACATGTGGGCACATGCATGTTTGACTTCATCTGTATGTCGGAAACTTAATTTAAAAAAAAAGGTCAGTGTTATTTTGATCAAAAGTTTATCACTAACTTATCGCTAAGATATGCTCGAGCGATAGAAGCAGAGGCTTTCTCGCTCGCTTATCGCTCGACTATCGCTCGAGCACAGCCTGTAAATTTGAATTTGAACGTTATTTTTCAGGGGTTTTCGCAATTTTTCCCCATTTTTCCTTTGATTTCTCTCAATTTTCAACAACCTACATCAAATTTCTGTTTTTGTCAAGTTCTCAACGTCTCAAATCATTCTTTTGTGGTGCAATATCATTGAATCAACGAACTTTCAAAGGTAACTCTCTAAAACCCTACTTTTTTTGTTTTAGCAATTCTTTTGGGGTTTTTTAGTTTTTGGCCACACTCGCTTCAATATTTGGCATTTGCCCTCTTGTTTTAGTGATTATCATGCACTATTATCACTCATTACACAACTTCGCACCAACAAATGGGTTGTTTGGCCAGTTTTGACATGAATTGTGGTATTTTTTTTGCATGTCTATCATTTTTTAGTTTATTTCTGGTGATTTTGGATAGTTTTTGAGGATGCATTACGGGTTGTTGATTTGAGAATTGGTGTTGTGGGAAATTGGGAGCTTACTTTTCATTATGGGCATATTTTTTCTTGATTTTGAGGTTGTTTTGATGGATTTTTTGGGGGGCTTTGAGTTGTATGTAGTTGATGTTTTGTAATGGTGTTGAATGTGGTGTTTTTGGTTGGTATGGTACTAGAGTTCATTGGTCTGTACACTCACGCCACATGTCTGTTACAACGATTCGATGTTTCTGATGCTTCTATCGTTTGGTTGATACCTATTCACATGTTTGGTCACGTTGGTGTTGTTCGCTTAGTTATGTTGCTGTCATTTGTATTGCAATTGGTGTTGACACCGCGAGTTGACGTCATGTTGATCGTATCTCATACGTCACGTCATCGAGTCTCACATGTCACTTCATCGCGTCTTATAGTCAGGGCGTCACGATGTCATGACTTCATTGCATCACGTCACCTCCATCTAGGCATCATGACACCATTATGTGCTTCCATCATCGGGTATGTTGCATATGTATTGGTGCATCGATTTACGTGCATTCATGCACCTCTTGCATATCATGTGTTTTTTGTTTAAACGAGGTATTGATATATTAGTTTTACACGTTTCAGATGCCGCCTAAGAGAGCTCGTACTTCTGCTCTGACACATGGTACCTCTACTTCATACAATAGGTCTAGGTTTATCTCTGCAACTGTCTAGGACACTTTTGGGTCGCAATTTTCTTTGAGACCTGTTTTATCTGAGCCCGAGGTCATTATGTTTGACCTTTCACCCGACCTCGCTGTTATTTTCACTTCTCGGGATTGGTAGCCATTGTTGGTTGAGTTAACGCCTCATCCTAACCTTCTAGTTCAAGAATTTTACGCTAACATTCATGATGTTAGCGGATCGACCTTTAGGGTTTTTCTCGGGGTAGGACGGTTAAGATCACACCCGATGTCTTATCGAGTCTAGTGCATATTCCTAGGGTTGCTCATCCTT